CCCGGTATGGATAAACTTCTACTGGGGGTAATGTTTATCCATAACCGGGTACTGTAGTGATAAACTTCTTCAGGAAGCTCATTTCCAATATAGTACTAAATAGATAAATATATTTACGGTGGAGTCCCATATGGATAAGCTTCTTCAGGAAGCTCATTTCCAATATAGTACTAAATAGATAAATATATTTACGGTGGAGTCCCATATGGATAAGCTTCTTCAGGAAGCTTATTTACAACAGAGTACTAAATGAACATCCATAATATAATATATATTTATAACAATAGAGAACTTTTATAAAACTGTGCAAGTATTTTTGTCCTGGAAGTTGTGCTAGTATGATTTATTAAGTTCTATATATATTAAGCTAAAGAAAAAAATGGAAAACCAGCTCACACGTGCGAAGAACCAATCGTCGGTTTCGAGCGGTTGGAATCATACGTTAAGAGAAAACCTCCGGTTCACCACTTTCCACCATTCGAAGCCTACTCCTTCAAGCGGCAAAAATACATTTAACCCATGTACATTTCGCAGTAACAGTGGTACTTTCCACGATTAACGACTACCTGACTCTACTTTCATAGCCTTTTATGGATCTTCTCCGTTACTCCGCCTCCCGCTTCCCTGCAGCTCATCCTCAGTATCCCTTCCATACGCCGCTTCGCCGGCGCTTCGTCGCCGTTAGGTCTCTTACAGCTGACTCCTCTCTGCTTATTTTTTTTCTCAATTTCTCAAATTCGTATAGTCGGCATCAATTAGTGGAGTTGAATTGATTGATACTCTGGAATTTGTGTCTGAATCGCTATGTGTGTGCGTCTGCTTTCTCTCCTTTCCAGGTCGAGTTTGAGCCTTCCGTTCCCGGAGCAGAAAGCCAAGTATTATAGGGAGCTGGAAGCTGCTGTAGATGTTGTCGAGCGAGCTTGTCGTCTGTGCGTTGATGTAATTTCTCCACTTTTTGTAAATAATTAGCTAATTACTCCTCTTCCGTTTATATGACTGCATTTCAGTAGACACAATTTAACATGTTAATTTGACTTATATGTTAGATTACTGTTAGTGAAAGGGTGTTTGGCGTGAAGTTTAAATTTATTATATGACTTATTTACTACTATATTGATGACACTGGAAGAAAATATTGAAGTGAAGATAATTCTAAAAAGTTGTGAATGTTGTATAGAAATGGAATTGTGTTAAACATCTTAGGACGTCCCAAATATAAGTTGGGGCCCGATGAGTTTTATCTGTTGACTGCATTGGTAACTATTCTATTATTTTGAGTTCAAAGCTACTTTTCCTTTTCATGGAGCAACTTCTTTGAGTTTAATTGAAAGATATAAGGCTTCAGACCAAAGTTCTTGAAATTGGTTAGAATGTGATGTTAGAAATGCTTCGCTTACTGCTTCGGCAATTTAAAATGCAGGTTTCTCAATCATTTTATGTAGTTTCATGGCTAATGCACATCGCTAAAGTGATAACTTGTTTTGAGGTACTTAAGATTGGAGATGTTTGAAACAAGTTGACTGCACCTTATCTCAAACAAGGTGACAGTAGTCAATTAGTTCTGGTGAAATTTGCTTTACTTCTATACTTCTGATACATGAAATGATTGAATTGAAATATAAACATTTCTCCTATAGCCATCTTTTTGTTTATTTTGAGTAGTCCATAAGTCAAGTACTGCAACCATTTTATCCACTAAAACTACTGTTTTCTTTGTGATTGCTAGGTGAAGAAATCGTTGTTCTCAAGTAATGGTAGGATTCTTGAGAAAATTGACCAGACCCCAGTCACTATTGCAGATTTTGGAGTGCAGGCTTTAGTTAGCTTGGGTAACTTATATATTCTTTTCTATTTACTGAAAAGAAATTCTTGTTCATTATTTATTAAATCTGAGTGCAGTTTCAGCTGTCCAGTAAATATGGGGAGAGAAAAAGAAGGAAAATTTTGAATAAAACAATTACAAGCCTGGTCAGTCAAAGTCTGATTTGTCTTAGCACAAGGAATTTACCCTGACTAAGAATAATCTTCCTTGTGCCTGGATGGTTTCACATTTCTTTTTCTTGATAGAAGAATAAGGTGGTATACTATATTTTTCCTATTAATAGGGCTTCTATAGCTTACATTACATTCTGTCGCCATCTCCAGTTGCAAAGGCGCTTAATCTATTTTTAGGATGACATCGATGCTTTCTTTTCTTAGTCAACCATATACTTACATGTACCTTTTGGTCACAGAACAATCTTAACTTAGAAGAAGAAAGAAAGATAAATATTCAGGCAAGAAATAACCATAAACATTGACACTTAGCTAAGATTATATAATCATTGTTCTATAAAATGGCATTTTTGTTTATGCCAAATCAGCTGGAGATAGGAGTACAGACTTCTTGTATTGATTAACTCGGGAAAAGAAGAGATAAAAATACAGTAATAGACTGTTATACACAAACAGTTTATTACCTGAATATAACTTACTTACTGCCTGAAGAGAAAGTAGCCTGCAGTTAGAAGTCTTAAGTTCTAATTCGGCAAAACCAATCTGAAGATTCTTCACTACTGCAGTGTAACCGAACTAGTATTTTAGAGGAGAACTACAATGCTTTAAAATACTAGTTTAATAATGTCAAACATAACATGTTTAGTAATGAATTTTTTTTGACTTGATAAAAAATGTTACATCTTCTGTGAAAATTTTGGTAAGCAAGTGTCCATCAAGTATCAATATTGGATAGGTCAGCAAACTACAAGACTTCGTACCAGTTTTATTGATATGTTCTCATTCTTTTTTATCTTCCAAAATCTGAATTTTGCTTGGACACGTTGATTGCCTTTCTTTTTGAAAGGGTTGATCTCTTAACTCTTCTAGTTCTACTTCAGTATTGTTGGCTTGGTTAATCTACATCACCACTTAAATTAGAAGCTGAGTGAGGTATTTGCTCCAAAACTGCATCTTACTGAAAGATTTGAAATCCCTCCACTTCCAACAAAAATTGGTGGTGAATAATCATAAACTTATTTTTTTTTTGGTCTTATGGACTATCTTCAGTTTGTAGATTTTATTATTTTTGTAAATCTACAAAGTTTTATTTCGAGAAATAAACTAATTAATTTGTAGAATCAAGTTTTAGTGAATATGGACTCAACAACTGTAGATCATTTGAAGGTGGAAAATATGGAGTATGATTGTCAAATCTTTGCACCTCGTTTCTCTTCATGTCATACTTTTTCTTCTATGATAATGACCAATCTGGTCTGATACTTCTCCATCACTCAAGAAAACTATTGGATAGTCATGGCAGTGATAATGATTATATTATGAATATATTTTTTGAAGAATGATGAAATTATGAAAATAGTTTTGACAACGATGAAATTATGAATACTCTCTTTGTGCTTTCCCTTTGATTCCCTTATATTTTCCTACTCTGTTTTCCTGGAACAGAGACAAATTGTTTGATTGAGTTTTTTTAGAGCTAAGATGAGTTATTTCTTTACTGGATTATACCCTTATTCTGATAGAGATGAACAGACTTTTTCCCTCTATCCCCCTGGTGGCTGAAGAGGACTCTGCATTCTTGCGTTCAAATAATCTAGTTGGCTCAGTGGTTGATGTTGTAAAGGATAAAGCAACTTCAGGATATGAAGTAACAGATGATAATATTTTGAAAGCAATTGACAGAGGGGGAAAGGATGCTTGTGTATTTGGGCCTAAACCAGCCACTTACTGGGTGAGTTGGTGCCTGCTTCCGAAGAGTATTCACTAAGTTTCATGAGATAAAAGATCAAAGTCTTTTAAAGGTTTCAAACTAAAGGAAAGTTCCTGAAGGGAACTAGAGTTTTATAATTCATTTTGAGTATGTTCTGTCACATTTTTTATCAGAGACACATTCATTTAGTTGATAATCAGTACATTTTATGTTGGGACATTAAAATTTCCTCGGTCTGGAGAATTTCAAATTTTGATTCTCTTTCTAGAAGTTTAGCTAATTCAGAGTATGTCGTTAATATCTCCTGAGAAGCATCTCAAGATGTTCTTGAAGGATTTAGGTTGGGGGTTGGGGGGAGGGGATGTTGGAGCTGGATGGGTGGCAAAAAAAAAAAATGGAAATAGTTTCCAATATATGGCCCTTGGATAACCTACTTCTCGTTGAAATACCTCTTCCTTTGTACAATAATCTTTACCAGATCAAGGCTAATATTTTAAGGGCCTCCCGACTTCTATCAATATGACATCAGCAATTATTTTTTTGTCTGTCTTTATTCTGTGTGATCTTTTATGTGCTTGAAAGAAAATCTACTTTTACCACCCATGCCATTAACAGATACTTACTTGCACAGTGATTTGGACTGCACTCACTAATTTTCATCCTCATACAGATACTGGATCCTATTGATGGTACACGAGGGTTTGTTAAAGGTAGCGAGGCTCTCTATGTGGTATGCTTCTTAATTCCTTTTCCTTTCTGTTTAATGTAATTATTATTCTTTTATGTTTTTGTTTCTTTTCTTTTTTCTTTTCCCAAATAATTAAAGGAAGAAACAAGAATGAGATCACCTTAATCTTATTCCCATTTACCGAATCAGCTGCGAATTTCCCGACCCGAAAAAAAAAGAATGACAGGAACTGGAAAAGAAAGAATTATTTAACACATTTTAAGTTTGTTTTCCACGGAACTGGCCAAGGTATAGGGTAATAGTTTTGAGGGTTACTTCCAACTCATGCCATTCCTCGCCCTGTTGTGCTAGTTAGTTCCCTTGAACTGGGAATGTGGGGCGCAGTGGTGGGGACACATTGGCTGAAGAGTGATCAATTGAATCCCCTATTTCAGAAAATTACATTGTGCATAGGTGAATTATATGTATATTGAAAGGGGAAACAGCCTCTCTGTATTCACAAGGTAGGGGTAAGGTCTGCGTACACGCTACCCTCCCCAGACTCCACCTGCAGAATTTCACTAGTTTTCTTGTTGTTGCTGTTGTTGTTGTATTGAAAGGGGAAAACCTTGGGTTTGGAATTATACTGGAGACACAGATGCTGCTAAACTAAAGGCTTCAGTGGTGCCAAAGTTAAACTTATCTGTCCTAAACCTCTTTTGTTCTTTCTATTTCCTCAATAGTGCAGAGTGTTTCACGTATCATAGTTAATGTTTCTGCGAAGAAGAGTGCCTTGATAACTAAAATGATGATGTCATACACATTATCATAATAGGTTCAGGCGTTATTACTTGGTTCTATAGAATTCTTTTGCTGCTTGGGTTAGATTTGTGTTTTTTCCCTTTTCTCATGCTTATTTGGCCAAGAATATTGTGTCTTTTCAGGTGGGTTTGGCACTTGTAGTTGAAGGACAGATTGTTTTGGGGGTCATGGGCTGCCCCAATTGGTGCGAAGACTGTTCTGAGAATTCTATCGTTGGGGTCCAAGAAAGTAGTAGTTCCAGATCAGGGATCATCATGGTTTCTCATGTGGGTTGTGGAACATGGACAAAGAGGTTGTCAGACATACTAACCACTGAGTCATCTCACACTTGGACCGGATGCTCTGTTGACAGCTGCCAAATGGTGGAGGGGGCACGGTTTACTATTCCTGAAAGTCAATCATGGAAATCATTACCCCTATCGGTTTTGTTTGATGCAAAAAGAGACTCAGAGAACATAGGAAAAGGGAAAATACTTCTTCTGTCTGCATGCTGTGGGAGGTGAATTCTTCCTCTCAAAGACATTTCATATTCTTGAAAAATGTGTACTAGATGATGAATGGATGCTTAGATTTGTGATGTGAAATCTTTCTTGCCCGCTGTTGGCATTTGTGGAAGTTCTTACCCCTAAAAGGCTCCTATTTGGTTGATGAATTTTAATACAGAGGAGTTGAGAAGTTAAAAAAGAAAGTGCTACAATGGTTTCCTTTGCAAATTGGATCTATGTAAGGGTTAGGCTGGGGAAAGGTAGAGGTAAAGAAATTAGCTCTATAGTAAACTTTTTGTGTCCAAGTTGGAACTTGGTTTTGGTAATCGGTAACAACTATCAACTTATTCGGAGAAGATGCTCATTATTCACATTCAGTAGAGATTGAATGCTCTATTTTAATAACCAAAAACAGAATGCACTCAGAACCATTCTTCAAGCGATTACAAAATTCAGTTCCCTTTTAGACTTGACAGCTGAGTTGTAATTATTTTTGCAGTTTTCTTTCTTTCTCTTTTGAGACTGCAAATCAAAGTACATCTCAAATTTCATGATGGTTTTTCGCATTTATTATATTTCGCTTTTGTTTCTAAGTTTACAGTTTGTGCAAATATCTGATGGTGGCTTCTGGTAGAGCATCGGTTTACATTCAGGGAAGGAAGGCGACATCTATTATCAAGGTGAAATTATATTCTCGGGTCACTGTGTGTAAAATTAGTAGAGCAATCTGATGGTCATATCCGTCGAATGTAGGTCTGGGACCATGCTGTTGGAATCATATGTGTCCATGAAGCTGGAGGGAAGGTATGCATTTCTCTGTTGACATTCTTTTAACAAACCTTCTTTATCTTTACTTGTTGCAGCCAGTTCTAGAGAAGTCGGCACTGCTGATATATCATTTAATAAAACAGTCAATTAGTTATATTGCATGTAACGGCACCCTTTTTGTTTTCCTTTTTTTTTAATTAAAAAAAGAAGTAACGTAAAGAACACCCTCGGGTTATGGAGATCTGAAGATATAGCTTATATCTTTTCTTTTCCTTTTCTTTTTACTTCTCGTCTGGATACAGTATTTTGAAGGCTTCAACTTTTTAAAGGAAAATTTTGAAAACTTTAGAACTGGTCAGATTTGTGAGGTTGACTCTCGTGCACAACTAGTTCATGCTTTTCTTAGGTTTCCTGGCAAGATAATCTGAAGAATCAAGTGAGGGTCCTAAATAGTGATTCACGGAACTTAAAATTCTTTCATCAGAAGACACAAACTTCATTTACTTATGAAGAAACACAAAGTGAAGAGAGGCTCGTTTTATAGCTTTTTTTCTAGTCACGTCTCATAATACGGAGACTCTGCACCTAGTGATTTCATTCTTGTACTTTTACGGGAAAAAACATAAATAATCAGCCCATATTTGATTTGAAAGATATGGGAGACTACAATAGCAACAACTACGCCTCAGTCCCAAACAGTTGGGATCGGCAATATGAATCCTCACTTCATTCTTTAAGCTCAACTCATATTATCATTGTTATCAACAAAGGGCAGATAATCCTTTATTCTGCATTATCCTACCCACTGTTTCCAGTTATCTGCTTACTGGCAAGTTATTCACATCCAGACATTTATATTCCCTGACATCAAACAAATGCGTTAAGCAGAAGACTTTATTTTTTGCCTACTCGATGCAGTATTCACTGGCATCAACTTTCATTCTCTCTATGTTTCTATTTTCATAATTGTTGACACCATTCACTTCGTAGAACAGGATCCAAAGCAGAGGGCAAAAATTTATTAAGAAGCTTTCATATTTTTCTTTGATTGTGCTCCTGGTTATGACTTTCACTTTATACTATGTCCTTCAACTTTGGGCAATAGTATTTGATGTAGATCATCCATTCAGAAAACCATAAGCGAGACTAGATTGCTCACTTTCCTGGTTTATCATTGTGTGTCTTACTTGTCAGGTGACCGACTGGGCAGGAGGTTCACTTGATATTGCGGCAGATCAAACTGAACGGAGACTAATCTTTCCTTCAGGCGGTGTTCTTGTGACTAATGGGAGCTTACACAGCAAGATTATTGGAATGATCTCTTCAAATTCGTCAGTTCTATGACAGGCATTTGACATTAATTGACAGATTATAAAAATACTGAGATACTAAGGACGATTCTGCCAATTCATCAATTGTTTCATGGCACTTGCATTCTTTCGACAAATCAGAGCAGACATTAATTTGTCTCCATTTTCTTCCACCTGGCGGTCATCAGTATCTCTTTATTTTCTTTTTCATCAATACTTGCTTTTTTATTCTTTCGGTCTCAAATGGCTTACATACGGATAACGTCCTCCAATTAGTGAAATGCTGTGGTCTGTGGAGAATGATTCTTATGTACTGCAGTAAGAAATTTTATTCTTTTCTTCACAAGGTACAATGATGAAGTGAAGATTTTTCTCCTTTCATCTCTACTGCAGGCAAAATTTAATATTTACAAATATAGCCTTTCCTCCTAAATAAGGTACTATAATGAAGTGAGGAATTTTTTCTTTTTCAATTTCAGTAAAGAAGTTACTCCCTTGTTATTTTTATTTACGGAGAAGGGTCAAACATATCCCTTTACTATGCGAAAAAGATTATATATACCCTCCGTTATACTATCTGTCTATAAAAATCCTAACGTTATAAAACTGGTACAAAAATACCCTTTCTCCGTTAGGACCTTCACCATATCCAACATCATCCTACGTGACCTGATATTTTGCTGAGATAGATGTCACGTGGCAATGCCACTCCACCACCCCCAATCCCATTTAACCCCTCCCCCTCTTCTTCCTTCACCACCACCTTCCCCTTTCACCCAACCAATGTTATTAACATCACCCAACCACCATAATCATTACCACCACTACAAACCTCCATCAGCTGCCCCTTCTCTCTCTATAACAGAAATTTCATATTATTTACGTTGTTCGTATAGCCTAAAACACATAGTATAGTTTTATTGCAAAATTATTTACTCAACTCTTTCAGGATTCAGTATCAAATTAAAGTAGACGAAGCCATCGATCTGCAACAATATATTAAGCAGCTCTATGATAAAAAATTTACTTTAAACATATTCAAACTAAAAGATAATAATAATAATAATAATAATAATAATAATAATAATAATAATAATAATAATAATAATAAAAGAAAGATAGAACAAATTCAATTAACACAATTTTGCAGGCTTAATTTCAAGTTCTTTCTTATCCGTTTTCTTTTTTTTTTTTCTTGCTAAATCATCTTATCCTTTCTTAAAGCTTTAGGCAAATCAACAAAACCCTTTATCCAAATCACAACTGTATTCATCACGATTTAGGCGCAGAGTTCTAACCTCACTATTTACGAGCCGAAGGAATAATATAATAATAAAATCGACTACTAAGCGAGGATTACTGGAAGAATAAAAGTAGAGATTGAATTTTTACTTAATTACAAACAAGTATAAATTCAGAAGAACAGACAAATTAATCGGATGTACAACTGAACAACAAAAAGAAATGAAAGAGGAGTTTGAATATGATTCATATATTGTTGTTGAAGGATATGTAGCACACATATATTATTTTCCTTGGATGGTACTGTAATAGAAGAAAAGCCAAAGGAAAAAAAATCAAAAAGGAATTTTTCTTGCAATTACAGATAGAAGGGTTACGGGGAGGGGGTTAAATGGGGTTGGGGCAGTGAGTGGCATTGCCACATGGCGTCTACCTTAGCAAAATATTAGGCCACGTGTTGGACATGGTAGAGGTCTTGACGGAGGAAGGGTATTTTGGTACCAATACTATAACGTCGGGGGTTTTTCTAGACAGATAGTATAACGGAGGATATATATGATCCTTTTCGCATAGTAGAGGGATGTTTTTGACCCTTTTCCGTTTTATTTATCACATTATTTGATCTTTGGTAACACTATCAGTTTAGAAATTCTCCGTGAGATAGAGGATATGATAGCTGACCTTACCAACAAGGCACTACAATTGGAGGACAGTGTACATCGGTTGAGAATCCGGTCTATGTAATAGTGTTGTCTAGTACACAAGTATCACATTCAAGTATACCTAATTGTGGTGCTCATGTTAGACGATTTGAATCTAATATTCCTTATTATCTCCGTGGTGAATCTAATATTCTCTCCTTTTGTCTTTTTATTATCTTGAGCCGAGGGTATTTTAGAAACAGCCTCTCTACCCTTTCGGGGTAGGGGTAAAATCTGCGTACATACTACCCTTCCCAGGCCCCACTTGTGGGATTTTACTGGGTTGTTGTTGTTGTTATGTTAGACGATTTGAGCTCCATCACCCGCTTGGTGCACAAGTAAGGAAGACAACAATTGCAGATACTTTCCCTTAGAATAATGCTAAGATAATCTTTTTTTTTTTGACTAATTAATTATGTAATTGAAAAAAGAGATTATCTTAGCCATTATTTTGAGGGAAAGTATCTGCAATGTTGTCTTCCTTACTTAAGATACCAATCAAAAAACCTGATTGATGACCCTTCTTGATTTGACACGGGACTTTGTCGAGATTATGAGTTGTGAGAATTTTAAGTTAATTTAGATGTAGAAACTTGCAAAAGGGCATAGTGAAAATCAAGGCCTCACATAACTTGGCCGAAATTGGCCCAAACACTACCGTCGTAAATAGATAAAAAATTACACACTGAAGGTACCAAACAATGGCAACATAATCTACTAACCAGCTCAGGTAAATTATCCATTGGTCCTTTCACCCTGAGGCTCATGATTTTGAATTGCCTCTGACGGATCACACCATTGCGACAGGAAGGGGATTGCCCGTCAACATACTTTGCCAAGAGGTGGCAGGAGCACGATGACCTTAGCCCAAACCTACTTAAACAACCTAAAGGTTGGGACTCTTCCTGCCAAAAATAACGGACCTACTTCTTATCCTGGGAATTAAGAGTCCATCCTTTACGGACCAATAAATAGAGCCAAGGGGTCCAGAATAAGGAGCCACTCCTCCCTCAGCTCCCTCCTTAATGGCTCAAGCAGGATAAGCAATCTCATTTTCCAAATCAGCTCAGCTTACCCTTCTGATCCTTCTGTTTTCGTTATTCTCTGGATTTCTGCCATTTGATTACTATGTCGACAGAAGAAAATCAGGATACAATAATTGCATGACACAGTTACTCGGGTACAAATAGACAATTACAACTTGAAAGAAAGGTCATAAACTAAGAGTGAAGAACATTACCAGCAGCTATCACTACGGATAAATTGCTCCGCGAGGATGCATGAAACAGCTTTTTGGTCCAGTTGTTTGGAACTAGTGCACTGCAGTTGAACAGCACCAACCATGTACACACATCAATATGTATAAAATAAATATGTCAATATATATTCTCCAAACAGTTTTCCCGTTAGAGAATAAAGAGAGAACCTTCCTCTACCGGAGAAAATAAAAAAGAGAAGATCAGATCCGAATCATGTTGTACATGAGCAGGCTCCGAAAGATCCCATATAAGAATCTTTCAAGCCAGAGTGAGACTAAAAGAAAGAGGAGCTGGGAGAGAGCTAGGTTGCCACAAATTGAAAAGAGACGAAATCATGGTCATTTGGCTACCTTGAAAGCTATTGAGACATTCTTTTGATAAACCGAGAAATACTCCGGGGACGTGGGGTGTTCGAAACTTGGTGGATAATCGATCCACCTCTCTACCCTTCTCCACTTAAACACCAACCTTTATGTGCAGTGGGTTCGAACCCTTGACGTGCGCCTAACCCACACATCATGTACCACACTCTTACCACTAGACTGTCCTGGAAGCTTGAAAGCTATGTGAGACTTGCTAGTGTTTTTATCTTGATAGCACTTCAAATGCTTGCAAGGTTCATCTGGGGAAACAAAAGACACACACTATGAAATGAGCAATGCATGCAAAAATCATCAGCAAGGTAAACTTTAGTCGGACTAGCATTCGCCCTAGACCTCCCGGAGAAAACAGAATTATTTTCGGAAGACGTCAGAAATGCACAAGTGCTATTCCTTATTCCAGCATATTTTAAGTTCACAATATATGATCAAGGTAACACTTAGAACCACCCTTACAAGCAAAAGAGAGGAAGTTTAAACAACCTTTGTTGATCACTAGGGATGTGTTTACAGATGGTCTGAGCTAACCAGTCATCATTTGACTGATTGGACGAGAGACAAGTTTACATACTCCAGAAGTTTCAACTTCTAATTGTCTGGTATATGCAGAATCCACATAGCAAGTATATATGCTTCACAGTTAATAAAATTTGACTGCAGAGTACTAGTGAGTTTATCGAGAAGATAGCACGACGTTCTTTTTACATTTTCACATAACAGAGTAACACCTAAATGTAATTCTGCTTCCTGAAGGGGAAAAGGGTGCACTTATTCATTGTACTTAAGATCAATAGAAATACTAGATCTGAAGAAAATGGGCACAGATATAGGTCATAGGGAACTTTTGATAAGTGAAAAGAGACATGAATATTAAGGACTATAATTGACCTGAATGACAAAAGATAAATTGACTTTTACTAAGGTTATAACAAAAATATGATCAAGGTAAAGTGTTAATACCTCTATCGGTAAGGTATCCAGAGAGGTATTGGTCAGGTGTCCAGAGCATCAATCTCAAAAATACTGGCAGTTTAATATGTCATCTCCAACTTTTAGAACCTAAAACCCTCTTCACCACACTGCGGGCCCTCAATAGTTCCAATTACCAAAAATCATTGCAGGAACAGTCACCATTAGCAAAATGATGAAACCTGTATGCATCCCGTACAACAATGGCTCGATTTGCAACCTTCGATACACACTTTATCCAGTTGTGGCAGTCATTGCAGACGCGAAGATTCTTCATGACTCGTACGGGAATCATTTCAGGCAAGCTTAGAAGTCCAAATGCAATAGCTAACTTTTCACTGTGAATATAAGCAGTTGGATCTTTTTGTCCCAACTCCAAATCATTCCAAAGGCTATTATTGTCTTGCACATAACCAATCATAACTACCCGTTTATTTAGTTCCTCCACAAAGTCATATATATGATTTGCTAGTGGATGGAGTCTATCTCCAACAAAAAATGCATGGATGGTGTTTTTAACTTCAATCCAGCTACGACCTGGCTCTTTCTTAACACCTCTGTCTTTCATCAGCAGCCTTGTCTGGTTCCGGGAATCCCATCTTCCAAGAACTGCATACAGGTTTGATAGCAAAACATAAGTTGCTGAGTCTTGAGGCTCCAATTCTAAGAGATGGTGACCTGCCTCTTCCCCTATTTCCATGTTCTTTTGAACTATGCAAGCACTTAAGAGGGTCCTCCAAACCATTGCATCAGGTTCGATTGGCATAGTCTCCACAAACTTCATTGCTCGCTGCAAATGGCCAGCTCGTCCTAAAATGTCTACAACAGACGCATAATGTTCTAGTTTTGGCATTAAACCATAATCTTTACTCATCGAATTGAAATAACAAAGCCCCTTGTCCACCAAACCCACATGGCTACAGGCTGATAAAACACCCAAATAGGTGACATGGTTCGGCTTCACACCAAGACGTCTCATCTCCTCAAACAGTTCTATAGCTTCATTACCACATCCATGTTGAGAATAACCAGTTATCATGGCATTCCATGACACATCATTCTTATTTTGCATTTCAAAGAACTCTTTCCTGGCATCCACAAGGCTTCCACACTTTGCATACAATGTGATCAGGACATTGGAAGCTTCTGTTTCAGCATTATAACCAGTCTTTATTATTCTAGCATGAATCTGCTTCCCCTGTTTAATATTGGTGGTATTAGCAGCTGCACTAACAGCAGATCCATATGTGAACATGTTAGCTTCCACTCCATCTCCATTCAATCTAGAAAACACTTTCAGTGCTTCTTCGCAAAATCCACTTTGGGCAAATCCTGATACCAAGCCATTCCACGAAATAATATCTCTGGTATCAATTTTGTCAAATGCTGCATACGCATCTTGTATTCTGCCGCATCTAGCATAAAGAAAAATCAATGCGTTGCCTATTGAATGATCTAATGAGTAGCCTGACACCACTGACTGGGCATGGATTTGTCGCCCTTGATCGAGTGCTTGAATGCCGGCACATGCACTAGTTGCACTTGCAAATCCTATGTTATCTGATCGAATACCATGGTGTTGCATTTTTCTAAAAAGTTTTAGAGCTTCAACAAACAAGTCATGCTGAGCATATCCAGCGATCATGGATGTCCAAGATACAACATCTTCCTCATTTAGACGCCAAAAGATTTTCTCTGCTGCATCCAATTTTTCATGCTTGGCATACATATCTATAAGCACACTACACACATAAACATTCTGCCAAAAGCCAGTTTTTAATACTTGGCTATGTATTTGCTCTCCAAGATACAGAGCACCAACAGATGTACAAGTTCTCAATATACTGGGGTATGTGTATTGATTAGGTTGTAGCCCTTTACCCTGCATCTGAGAAAAGATTTGGAATGATTCATCCAAATCACCCATTTGTCCATAACCCACGAGCATCACATTCCACAGAACAATGTTTTCCATCTGGCTTCCAAGGAAAAATTTATGGGCTGTTTCAATGTCAGAGCACTTAACATAAAGGTCAAGTAAAGAACCTTCAATTATGCTATCTGAGCATAGACCTGCCTTTGTTGCATAGGAATGCAATTGTCTTCCCTTATGAAGAGCTCCTAATGATGCACAAGCACCCAAGAGGCTTGCAATTGTAACACAATCGGGTTTTAACGAACCTAACTGCATTTTCTTGAATAACATTAGAGCCTTATCACTGAATCCTTTCAAAGAGAGACCAGAGATTAGGGAATTATAGGTAACTCCATCCTTCTGCGGCATTTCAATAAATACTTGTTCTGCTAATGTTAAGTATCCACACCGAGAATACAATGTAACAAGAGCATTACCAACAAAAACATTAGTTAAAAATCCCCATTTATAGATACTAGCATGGAGCTGTTCTCCCAATTCAAAAGCTTTTATCTTTGTGGATGCACTTATAACACTCGAGAAAACATATGGAGTAGGAATAACTCCAAATTTACGCATATCCTTATATAGGAGAATAGCATCTTCTCCTCGTTCGTTCTTACAAAAACCAGATAACATGGCAACCCAAGAAGAACTATCTCTTACCACCATATCCTCAAAGACTTGCTTAGCAGAATCTACTAATCCGTTCTTAGAATACAAATCAATCAAACGGTTACAAACAATGAGCTTCAATCCAAGACCACAGCGCATAATCAAAGCATGAATCTGTTCAACACCCCGAAAACGAAAAGCAACCTTGTTATAACTGCAGGCTTGCAGAACTTGGGAAAATGTGCACTCATCTGGATTAACATCTTCTCTTAACATTCGAGAGAACAGATTTAGAACTGCATCATTTCTTTTCGTCCGTGTAAAACCAGACAATAATATGTTCCAACAAGACACATTTCTAATCCCACTTGGCAAATTATCAAATATTTGCAATGCACTAGATAAATCTCCACCAGCAACATAAATATCAAGAAACCTAGCACTGATTCTATAATCGGAGCCAAATCCCAATTTCAACAACTTCCCATGTAGTTTCTTGGCATCTATAATTGACCCTTCACTCAAGCAACTATCTAGTAGGCTTAGATAATAAGTATGACCAAAATAGCCATTGTCTTTCGCTATATGAGAATGAATAGTAGATGGATAATATACATTTTCTTCATCTGAAAAATCATCAAGAACCAGCGAATATATACTTGCACAGGTAGTAAAAGTACAGTTGTTCAATCTAAATGGTTTCCAATATTGAAAATGCCAAATTTCCTGCAAATTGGAAGGGAAAAATGAAAAAATGTTTGAAAAGAAAAAGGAGGAAAACAATACAGAAACAGAGAAAAGTAGCAAAAGAAAGAAAAGATATAGAAAAGTTTTACCTGGCGAAGATAATGAGAAGACTTGTAAAGGGGATGCATAATTCTCTTTGAAAACATGAAGATTTAATAGAGTGAATTGAAGTCAAACTTAGCAATCTCCGTTTGTCTCAACACTCCGTGTGAGCTCATTTGCCCCAAAAATATATAAACAATGAAGATTTAATAGTTTTTAGGTAGTATTTAGGCAGCTCTGCCGGTTCACGGTCAGTCGATTTTCATCGTATACTTTGCTCTAGTTCTGGGTTTCAATTAAAACCATCTTTTGTGAACCTAATTGAGCTCCAATTTTGCCTTCTCCTCTCCTGTGTAGTGTCGGAGTAATTGAAAAATCTTTGCTTGAAATACAAGGGTGTTTTTGCAAATCCCTTTATTTTCATGTTTAATAAACACTAAAATTGTTTAATAAGTTAAGTGCTATTTAAAGCCAAAATAAGTATAAATAAAATGAGAATATAAATTGGAGTGAGCACGTGCGAAGAACTCAACAGGAGAGCCTCTGCCAATTTCAACCGTTGGAAGCCTACCCTTCCCGCTGACCCATCCATAGCACAACAAACCATGTACCTTTAGCAGCAGTTATTGTACCTCGATGGATCTCCTCGGGTGCTCCGCCGTCCGTTTCCCTAATACTTATCTCCGGCGTTCGCCACTTCGCCCATGCTCCGCCGCCGTGAGGTATCTCACAGCTGATTCCTTTCTCGCGCTGCGCCGCTGCTACTTCACTTGTCTTAATCTATCCTAAGTGTGTACAGTTTCTGCCTTTGCAGGTCGAGTATGAGCCTCCCTTTCCCTGAGCAGAAAGCAAAATACTATAGAGAGTTGGAAGCTGCCGTTGATGTTGTCGAGCGAGCTTGCCGTCTTTGCATTGATGTAAAATTTCTTTTTATTTAGCCAGAGTCACATAGTTTTATAGTTTAGTATCGAAAGTTGGTTATAGAACATTCATCAGTTGACTTTAACTAGCTTGGGACTAAGGCTTTTAGTTGTTTGATTAACTGATTGAGTTAACTAATTATCTTGAGGTGCATTTGGTTAATTGGATTGAAATGCTGCTGCTAGTCAATTTTAGTTTGTTTTCAGCAAAACACTAGTTTCTCTTTCAAATGCGAGAATATTTCGTGCTAATGTTATTGTAATTGCATTTGAACACCTATGTAGAAAGACTGTTAATGCTTATTGCACCTGAAATTATGAACTTCCTCTCTGCTATTCTACAATAATTAAGTTTTGATCTGGTACTTGCAATTTTGGTACGTGACATATTTACGGTGTACTCAATGTAAAAGATTATAGATCTTGGAGACAAAAGTTGTTAGCTTTTCTCTAACGAGATAACATCAGTTATTTAGTTCTGGTGAAATTTTATTGTATGCTTTTGAGCTCCAAAAATAGCTCAAACAAAAAAATTGGGGGATTAGTAGTCTGTCAAGTGATGTTATCATTTTATCAATTAAAAGTTCTGCTTTTTAATTTTTATGGTTGTAGGTGAAGAGCTCATTGTTCTCCAATGATGATAGGATTCTTGAGAAAAAGGACCAAACCCCAGTCACTATTGCAGATTTCGGCGTGCAGGCTTTGGTTAGCTTGGGTAATTCAATTTGCTTTTCTTGAAACCTTCTTCAGTTTTTCCTTGATTATTGAATTGAAAGTGCTGCAGTTTCCAACAATACTTTATAAAATTGGGAAGCGGAAAAGATACCAAGCATATTGGAGGTTTAATTTGTCTTACCACATGCTTTTTCTCTATTAAGAATGTTCGTCCACCTATTACATGTTCTTCAAGTTGCTTTTTGTCACGACCCCGGTTCGCCCTCCATGAACCATCGTGACGGCACCTAGTCTCTACGACTAGGTAAGCCTAATTTGCGGAAGAAAACTAAACCTTGCGGAAGTAAACAATTTAAAACGGAAACAAAGCAGTAACAGTGTATAAATGTGCCACTCGGCATACACCATGTTTAACTCTCAATACCAACATAAATCCAAGACCTGAAAACCCATGAATCACAAGCTAAGAAAAAAGAAATACTACATAGCTCTAACTCCGGAATTTCTAATAAAGGACAGAAAAGTACAGAAGGGTTAAATACTAAAGACAGGAATAGAAAGGGACTCCTTGGTCTGCGGACGCTGCAGATGTACCTCGGAGTCTCTAAGCAGTCGCCTTCCTCAACGATAGTAGGCCTGATCAGCGGTACCTGGATCTGCACATGAAAAACATGCGCAGAAGGGGCATGAGTACACCACAGCGGTACTTAGTAAGTGCCAAGCTTAACCTCGGTTGGGTAGTGACGAGGAAGGTCAGGGCCCTACTGAGGTTAAATACAATATGAGGGTTAATAGTGTGGAATAAAACAGTATAAATAAGTGCAACAGTAAGAAATAACATAGAATTGACAGAACAACAACAACTAGAACAGAGACAAAACAAGCCACGGAAAGAAAAACAGCTCAACGCAGAGATAACAACCGGGGCACCTTCCAGGATACCGTCCCGTAGTCCCAATTACAACTGTCCAGTGGATCTCCCGGGATACCGTCCCGTAGTCCATCATATATATGTCTGAAGGATCTCCCGGGATCCCATCCCGTAGTCCAACTATCAATGCACGGGGATCTACCGGAATCCCGATCCGTAGTCCCAAATGTAAATACCTAGTACTGGGGAATCTACCGGGTGCATTCCCGTAGTTCCATATAACTGTACAGGGGAATCTACCGGGAATCTAACCCGTAGTCCCAAAGTAAATGTGCAGGGGGATCTACTGGGAATCTAACCCGTAGTCCCAAAGTAAACAGACAAGGGGGAGCTACTGGAATCCCACATCTGTAGTCCCAAAATAAATACACAGCAATAGCAGGAAGATATCCAGAAATGGCAAAACTTCATATTAAGGCAACAAGTGATTCTAACCTAGCATGCTGTACAGAATTCAAGTAGGGAGGCAGGTTGAATCAAATAAAGCAAAGTAAGTCACTTAGGCATGCTTTTCTAAGCTAACAACAGGCTTAATAGTGCAAGAAATAGAAACAGGAAAGGAAACACACTAGTAATTACTTAAGAAAACTGGATTTCCAACAATTAGCACAAGTACGCACTCGTCACCTTACGTACAAGACATTTCAATTACCAAATATACCAATCTTAAGGGGAAGGTCCCCACATAAGGTTAGACAAGCCACTTACCTCGAACCGGCTCAAAATCAACCCAACACCACGTCTTTGCCACGAGTACTCGACTCCAAAGGGTCCAAATCTATTCAATTCGATTGCATAATGTAAATAACACTTCAAGTAACTGATTCTACAATTAAATTCTAAGCTAATACGTGAAATTATGTAAAATGACCAAACCGCCCCTCGGGCTCACATCTCGAAATCGGGTAAAATTTACATTTTCAGAATTCTCACACCCTCACGAGTCTAACTATACCAAAATTATCCAATTCCGATACCATTTGGTCCTTCAAATCATCATTTTACATTTTTGAAAGATTTCACAAGTTTTCTTCCCAAATTCCATCCCAGATCACGAATTCAATGATGGATTCATGTACTCTAGCCAAATCTGAGTTAGAATCACTTACCCCGATGAATTTCTTGAAAAACCTTCGAAAAATCGCCAAAATCCGAGCTTTCTAGGTCAAAATATGAAATAAAACCCAAAACCTCGTATTTATAGGGCACCCCCCCGGATTTCCACCTCTGCAGACCGCACAAAAACGACCGCGGTCCGCACAAAACCAGTGCGGTCCGCACAAAAATGACTGCGGCCACACATGTTTTGACTGCAGTGACAGACTTTTGTATTTTGGCCATAACTTTCACTACAGATATCCAAATTGTGATTTCTTTACCTTTCTGGAAACTAGACGCGAAGAGCTACAACTTTCGTTTTTGAATCATCCCAAAATTCCTTGTAGATCAAAAGATATGAGCTTCCGAAGTAGGACCAGTAAAATTTTCCTCACCGCGGACCGCACTGCATTTTGTGCGGCCGCACAGCCCCCACCGCGGACCGCACGGCCCCCACCGCNGAACTCCAAGAACTCTTAACTTATGCTTTCGATCAAAAAGTCTATCAAATCTCGTTCGAACGACCTGAAATTTTGCAAGCACGTCTCATTCAACACTACGGAGCTACTCCAGTTTTCGGAATTCCCTTAGATCAAAATCTCACTATCGGACCGGAAACTTCAAAAATTCGGCTCTCGCCATTTTAAGCCTAAATTAGCTACGGACCTCCAAAACACAATCTGATCACGCCGCTAAACCCGAAATCACCCAACGGAGCTAACGGAACCGTCAGATTTCCATTCCGAGGCTGTCTTCACACTGTTCCGACTACGGTCAACTTTCCAACATATAAGCTCTCATTTAGGGAATAAATGTCCCAAAACTCCCCGAAACTCAAAACCGAACATCCCGGCTACTCACATTAGCAGAAATAAACTTGGGAAAAGCAGTTAATAGGGGATCGGAGCGTTAATTCTTAAGACGACCGGCCCGGTCGTCACATCCTCCTACACTTAAACATTCGTTCATCCTCGAACGAGCATAGAGACATACATGAAGTAGTGAAAAATTGAGGGTAACGGCTGCGCATATCCTGCTCGGTCTCCCAGGTCGCCTCCTCGACCGGCTGGCCTCGCCACTGAACCTTTACTGAAGCAATGTTCTTTGACCTCAGCTTTCTAATCTGCCTGTCCAATATTGCCACTGGCTCTTCAACATAAGATAGATCCTTGTCCAACTGGACTGAACTGAAATTCAACACGTGTGACGGATTGCCGTGATACCTCCGGAGCATCGAAACATGAAATACCAGCTCGTAAGCAACCTTCCCAACACGCCCCAATATCTCAAAAGGGCCAATAAACCTCAGACTCAACTTCCCTTTCTTCCCGAATCTCATAACGCCTTTCATAGGCGAAACCCGAAGCAGAACCCGCTCTCCAACCCTTCCGGTCTGCGTAACTCTTCTGTCTGGACTGGGCTGTGCGGAGTCTATCCTGAATCACCTTAACTTTCTCCAAAACATCCTGAACCAGGTCTGTGCCCAACAATCTGGCCTCACCCGGCTCAAACCAACCCACCGGGGATCTACACCGCCTCCCATATAAAGCCTCATACGGCGCCATCTGAATACTGGACTGGTAGCTGTTGTTGTAAGCAACTCCGCCAATGGCAAGAACTGATCCCAAGACTCTCCAAACTCAATCACACACGCACGGAGCATATCCTCAAGAATCTGAATGGTGCGCTCGGACTGTCCGTCCGTCTGAGGGTGAAATGCTGTACTCAACTCTACCCGAGTACCTAACTCATGCTAAACGGCTCTCCAGAACCGTG